GCGAACCTGACGGAACTCAATACTTTCACATAAGCTTTGTAATCGGGAGTGTAGAATCGCGCGAACGATCTTAGTGTTTTCGCGAGTGTGCCAGAGGACAGTCTGAGAGGAGGAGGAGGCTTCGGATAGGCATCGGGCGTCGTCGGAGCATCTTTGAGGTAAATACTTTTCATTTCGTATAAAATTTATCTTCTTCCTATCATTTATACCACAATTAAAAATAATAATTGGAAAGAGATCACTGTTTTAACATGAATTTTGTAATTGTATGTTACAGACTGCTGGAAGAGTCTCAGAAGGAGTCCCGAAGGACAACCTGAGTGGAGGAGGAGGCCTCGGATAGGCTTCAGGCGCCGGCGGAGCAACTTTACGGTAAATATTATTTTTCCTGTTTTGTAAAATTAATGTTTTCCGGTTTATTGTTGAGTCATTTTATTTCACCATAATTTTAAAATAATTAAAAAATTAAGATACATATCTTTTGCGGAAAATCTTTCACGATATAATCATTTAAATCTAACTGAATAAAAAGTTGGATACGCGTTGAAATTATATTTTGCAAAATTGGTTTTGTTAAACACTGTTTTTTAATATAAATTTTATTTTTGTGTTACAGATAGACAACAAACAACAACTCCGCTGCTGCGCGTCGGGTCGGTGAGTGCGAATTTTGTTTATTAAGGAAACGAATCTACACCTCGTAAATCGTAGTTTGTAGATAGTAGATCGTAAATTGTAGATCGTAGTTAAATATATCTCGTAGATTCGTTTCCTGAAAATGGATAGGTGATAATAATAAAATAATTACGGCATTTAATGTTTTATTTAAAATATTCAACATATCGGAAAAGAGTGGTAGAGATTTTTAAAAATTACGGGAAATATGACTTTGGATTAGTTTATGAAACTTTTCCATTGTCCATTTAAGATTGAAAACCTTGTTGGAGAACCAGAGTTAATCCCTGGTTTTCTTTGTCACGGATCCCCGGAAGCAACCAGTTTTGGCACGAGAGCGCGACGTCGATTCGCGAAATTAATAAAAAAAAGAGAAGAGTTTATGTATATATCCTTCTCCATAAATATTCTCCCATTAACACTACTAATGGAAGAATAATTTTTATTTAAATGAAACTGAAAATATACGAGATTGCATGATTTAAGAAACGATCGTCGTTAACTCCCTGCCAAAATGATCGCTATCGGAAGTAATCCGGAAGATCTGGGATTCATTCTTTCTTGCAGCGAGGACCATGACTTTTGAATTGGTTAAAATTTTCCTTTTCCCGTGAAGATTAAAGATCTTGTTGGATAACCAGAGTTAATCCCTGGTTTTCTTTGTCACGGATCCCCGGAAGCAACGGTTTCGGCACGAGGGCGCGACGTCGATTTGCGAAATTATCAAAAAAAGAAGAGAAGATTTTATGTATATATTCTTCTCCATAAATATTCTCCCATTAACACTAATAATGGAAGAATAATTTTTATTTCAATAAAACTGAAAATATACGAGATTGCATGATTTGAGAAACGATCGTCGTTAACTCCCTGCCGAAATGACCGCTATCGGAGGTAATCCGGAAGATCTGGGATTCATTCTTTTCTGCAGCAGGGCCTTTAATTTTCTTTTACACTCTTTTAATCTAATGAAACTCTATTGCTCATATTACGATATGTTGAATTCACTTTCCATCTTGAGTTGTTGCAAAAATTATGGCTTAGCAAATACAGTCTTGCTGTATTTGTCGAGCAAATCTTTTGTAACCTATCCATTTATTTTTCATATTTTCTATATGTGATTTGATATGTAATATGTATTGTCAAGATGCATATCGCATGAACGATTCGACATGCACAATTACACGCATCTTCGCGGTCGGTTTACGCGGTCGGTTTTCGCGATCGGTTTTTCAGGAAAAATTTTTAATTAATTATTAATTACTTAATTTTATTCATATTATAAATTTTAATTTATCGAGGAATATTATTAAAATCACTTTAACGCGAAGTAAATTTGTTTTCTATATCTATTCGACTTTTGAATTCTAAGATCATTTTACGAAGAGATGATCAATATGTTTAAATAAATAACGGAATTAAAAATAAATTTGATTCGTACGTACCGTAAAGTTTTTTAATTAATATTTTTCTTTTAATTAACTTCTCGTGGTCGTGCATTTTGCGATACGATCCTCACTCGTATATTCGAACCGTACGAAATATTTGTCAGTGACGATAACCGACTATGGAAGGAGTTTTCTTCCTTCCTGATCTCTGGTCAAAATGACCAGACTGTATGGCCAGGAGCAACGAAAGGTAGGTCCAATCTGGCCCAACGCAAGATTCAACGAGATAAGTGGTCCTTGACCACGATGATGAAATGTATAAATATTTATTTAGATCTATTTGTACCTATATATCTTTTTATGTGCTAAAATTCGGGTGGGATATTCTTTTCTACATTTTCTCGCGCCTGTATGCGAGATTGGAAAAAACTAAATTAAATCAATCTCAACCGCGCGCGAATTAAAATCCCAAATTATATCCTTAATAATCGCGTCGCGGTTTTTATTTGAAATAAATAAATTTTAGTTAAAAATTTTATGTTTGTTTGAACGGGTAGGTAAAAAAATAGACAGATAGGACTATAAAGGTGAATCGGTATACGAGTAGATACGAATTCGGGTAGGTAGGAATTCGGGTAGGCAGGGACAGGGAGACATAATTTATTACGTTTGTCGTAGACATAAGTAAATTGTATGAAGAAAGATAAATAATAGAAATGTTAAAAATCGTATTGTAAAGAAAAGAGGACCGCTGAGTGGAATCAGCGGGGGCGGCGGAGGGCCTCTTTAGATTAATTTTTCTATTGTATGAAATTTTAAGCTGGTCTAAAATAATCTTTTATACGATAGATTTTCGTTTGCGCATTTACGATACGATTTTTTGTTTACACATTTATAAAGAATGTTACATATTACTCTCTAAAAGTCAATCAGTGAATTATCACTGAAAACGGTTATAATTATTGAATTATTCAGTGGTATACTTGTAACTGTGAATCAGTGGGTATTCACTGTTTTCTGTAATAATCTACTGATTGACTTTTAGAGAGTAGACATAGCTACATGTTTTATATTGTAATAAATTATAAAATTAATTGTGATGAAAATATAATAATAATAAAAAAGTCAAAAGAAAATGATTATTGTAAAGAAAAGAGGACCGCCGATCGAAATTGGCGGGGGTGGTGGAGGGCCTCATATTTTTGCAATACACTTTCAATGTAAACACAGTAGCGTGCAATTATTGATACGTAACATCGGCGTTACATTAGCATTTATTCTATACTCAATATTTCAATTTTATTGGGCAATCTTGCTAATACAATCAATCCAATATTAATTAATCATCTAGGTACAATATCAATAGTATATTTGCACTTATTTTGTGACCAATATTGGTGTTATATTGGGGAAATATTGGCCAATTCACTGCCAACATAACCAATGTTAGCCAATGTACAGCCAATGAATTGTACTTCTAGGGAGGCGCTTATACGCAAAGGCAAGGCCTATGCGATTAAGTGAAGGTTTAAAAAATATATAAAGTAACTATTAATGTAACTATTAAATTAGTTACTAGTTATCGAAAAAATGGAACTGACAATGAGTTAAGATACAGTTACAGATGGTGAAAAAGTAACGAAATTAGAGTTGCCAAAAAGAAGTAACTGTAACTGTAACTTCGTTACAAGTAACGAGTTACTTCCCAATTCTGTAAAGTTGATATCACATATAATTTACAATAATTATTAAAACTTATATTTTAGATATAGCCAAAATGTAAATTTTAATAATTATTATAGGTCACGTAACAGTGAAATTATTATAAATTACATAATAGTAAAAGCAGTATTATAAATTTTAACATAATTAATTTGGTATTATATTTATATGAGTTTAAAAAACTAAAGTAAATGAACTTTACTTTATGTCATTTAACTGAGTTTTTCTCGTAAACCGTTAGTTTTTACAAAATAAGAGGAAAGTATCTATATCGAGTCTTACCTCGCTCGGCCACCTGTACCTGGGTCACATTCGTAGCGTGCAATTTCGTTCATGATAATGTCGGGCACTTTCCGATGGCGAGCATTCCGGTTTGCGGATACCGCGCGATCTTGTCGCGCCAATGCTTCGTTTCTGATGCCTAGCTCTCTCGAAATAGCGTGCGAGGCGGATTTAAGACTAGTTTCGCGGCTACGCGCGGGTCGATTTATGGACAAACCTGAGTTAGAACGATATTAAAACTGCATAATTAATTCTGGGGAGGGGCCAGGGGCCCGACCTCCCCTTCTCCCGACGTAGCTGACATTCAAGATAATACGCTATTATATACCGAAACAAAATCATTTAAAAGTTCACGCAAGATATTGTATTTATTAATCGATTACCAGACAAGAATGGCGAAGGGTCTACCTTTTTATGTTTTATCTTAATTAATGAGTGCGTAATTTGTAACGTTCTATTTACGCGTCGACAATCGCTATGGGTTTCTTCGCAGTTTCTTTTTCCGGAAAATGTTAAAAATTTGTAACTTTCTGACTCGAGAAGAATCCTTGGTGTATATCGTAGAGCATATCAAACGCGCGAAAGCAACTTGTCTCAGCGTACGCTGCGACAATAAATATTTTCACTTTCGACGTTATAATCCCTGTAGATATGCAATGGAAAGCACGTGGTGCTTACCCGACGATTCGCCAGGAACGAAACCCGCGTATTGCATAACGCAATCAAGTACTAAACTTATTAATAATTTATCGTTGATAATTTACTTCCGACTTGCTATTAACACGTAACAAGGTGGCACCGGTGTTTGCACATTAGAATACGAAACCTGACTTGAGAAAGTCGAGGTGTGGGCGCGTGAATAACGTAGGTACTCTTTCTCTTCCTCGATATTGCTGGACATGCGGGGTGTACATGCAAGAAATAAACGCAATGTAATTTTTTCAGTAATAAAAATTCATAATTTCCTCTTCAATTTTCGATAAACGTCACCTAATACATTTGTCCTTTTTTGTACCATATCATATGTCATATGTTTAACATATGCACGGAGTAGAGCGTGCGCGTCCTTCCTTCTCGCGCTCGCACGCGGAGAGAATAGTGCGGCATTAGCGGCAACATGTGTCGCGTTACAACAAGAATCGAAGAAGACCGACGACGTCGCGCGAACGGGCGAACCTTACGATAAATAATTCACTCGATCACGCGATTATTGCGCGCGAACAGCACTCGTAACATCAATTAATTAGCAGCCGTAACGATTCGCGCTTGAACGCTCCACTTATCGGTGCTAGGTTCTCACTTGACGCTAGAACACCACATTTGGGGTCTGATAAAAAAATATCTATTTGAAAATACATCCAGGAAAGCGTAATCTTCTAAAAGATAACGCTGTAGCGTCTCTTTCATCAAGTCCTCCGACCGGTGAATCTCTGGAGACGTTCTCATCGAAAACAATTAAGTAGCTCCACGACTGTCTACTGAAAAATCTACTATACATATCTTCTTACTTCTCGTTTACACCTTCTATACTATGTCTTATATCTTTTGGTAAGACTTTGCAAATTCTCTTAATCCTAAATGAAAAGAAAATTCTCTCTTTCTCTCTCTCTCTCTCTCTCTCTCTCTCTCTCTCTCTCTCTCTCTCTCTCTCTCTGATGGGCGATCGAGCTCGCCGCATTTCTTAGGTCCCGATGTGGTGTCCGAGAAGTCTCGATTTCTTCATTGATCTCTTGATCGAATCGTGAAATTTTAGAAAAAGTTTTACTCCAAAAATGTCAAAAATCTGTGTCTCGCTGCACATAGCGCTTTATACAGACACGCATTCCAAGTATAAAAAAGACGTCGTTTCACAACCGCCGCCCCACGATCTAATATAACGGTATAAGTTTAAGAAATGGTATTAAGAAAACGCCCTTGTACGGTCGTTTCAATTCTCCTCGCAGCGAGTGTCCGTCTTATACCTCGGGGAAATAAAAGCTTTCGGAGTAAGAGTCTCTCTAAGATTACCGATTCAATTCGCGCCTAATTGTCAGCATAAGAATACCGATACCTAGCGTTAACAATATTTAGTAATATCGATATTCAATGATGAATACATATCCTCTGGGTCGCCACAGTATTTCTCTGCGTGTGAGCGCGTGCACGCGCGTCGCACACTGTACGTCCAACGCACACGTAAGGTCCGTTCCGACTACATATACATACGGAACGTGCGCGTGCAAAATGTCACGCGAGCACGCGCGCGCGGGTGTCGCGACTATTTATATAATCTAATAATATAGTGTAACACTCTCTCTCTCTCTCTCTCTCTCTCTCTCTCTCTCTCTCTCTCTCTCTCTTTCTTTCGTTCTCTGCGCGGGATTTTCGTCGCGGCGCGCGTGCACGCGTGTGTGACACGCGACTTTCGCATGGCCGTATATATATATATATATGCCACAGTCGCGTTTGATTGAGACCACGAAAACGTACGCACAAGTTCTTCTTCTCTTTCCTCCCACACGATAGTAAAACAAAACGTAAGTAACGTGCGTTGACGTAAATTGTACTACATTAATATTGTAATCGTGATAGGTGGTAATAATTAGCAATAGCAGAGCAGCGGTGGCGATTAGTGTAATAGCACTATTGGTTTTCATTACCGATATAACAATTCCTTTCTCTCCCTTCGTCTTCCTCCTTTACATTTTTCTTTACCAACGAACCGCGCGCAATAGTGATTAATCGTAATCTTCACGACGTCCTATATACAACGTACGCGGTGTAACGCGTGCATTCGCCACTCGACACAATTTACAACGAGCTCCTCGAGGTCTGTATGCGTACATATAGATGTACATATGTAGTAATGCATATATACGCATTTACATTTGTCGCATGTACCTCTCTGTAGGCGTATATTTCCTCTCGCGAACGCTAATTACATCGATCCAATAATGATCGTCACCGCCATAATGAAATTACTTACACATTAATAATCCCACACACTCACACAACCGCGCACGCGCACACACACACACACACACACATACACACGCGCGCACACACAGGCATACGAGAAACGCTCGCAAATCGCTTGGCCATCGCGCGGGACACGTCGGCCCGAAATTAGTTTTGCATTGCTTAACGTAAGTATTTCCATAAGTACTATCCTGCACAATATAGTCAGTTTCCATCAGCTAAACGTTTAAAAATCCATTTACACGAACTAGCCGTAGCAGACGAGACGCGGTTCTTTACACATAAGGATTCTCTGTTTCGAATAATCAATATATTAATTAGTCTATCTAACAATGCATTAATTATCCCTTGACGAATACATTAATTGCGCGAGGTCCCACAGCGAGACTCCAGCGTACAGCGAACCCATAACTTTGTAATTATGAGCTTTATTCTTACAATTAGTTTAATTCTAGAGCTCGTTAGCTTAATTCTAGAGTTTGTTATACATACACATTTATATATATTTATATATATGTATATATATATTTGCAGCTCTCTATAATTTATTTACAGTTCATTCTACGCAACAGCGATATATTTGTTGCTTGTAAATTAATAACTCACATCCCTTCTTTCGCTCTGTATGTATGGATGTGTGTGTTTGTGTGTGTTTGTGTTTGTGTGTGTGTGTGTGTGTGTGTGTGTGCGTGCGTGTGCGTGCGTGTGTATACATATATACATTTGTCGCAAGTATTCAAGAAAATATCTCTTTGAATTATGAATATAATTCAAGTTGTATCTTTGGATGCGGCCAAAAATAGATTTAACTAACATGATAAAGCCATTGGTGAAATTCCTTCTCCAAGGATGGTCAATCGTATCGTTGATCGGAGAAAGAACATCGTCGTTGTTTCGTACACGTATTTTCGCGAAATGTGTTAGATTTAATAAAATAGAGTGTATAGGTAACTTGTTAATATTCATCTATACATCGTTAAGCGTCATGATTAAAACGAGCGTCCAATCAGCGATAACTTGACCGATCCTTGTACGCTTACATACCATACAATTGCCGAATTACAGTATTGTATTCCTACAGATGCAGATTAATAATTTATACAAGATTATTCGATATGCACGTGCAAGAGCATTTTTTTAGCTTAACATTTTTTCTTTTTCTATGTATATATATACTGCTTGATCGATACTGATTAGGTTAATAAAACATTAGGTTAATAAAACATTCTATCTATTATATTCGCTATTACATATAGGCAACTAACAATAAGTATCTCTACCTGATGGCATTTTCGCGCGTATATCGTTTATCCGCTCCGATAAAAAAAATAAAAGAAAATATGACAAAACATATGGTACAATCTAATTATAATAAGTACGATAAAAATTCCATCAGGTATGCCACTAATTTGTGCTTTATCGATTAAGTGTGTAACAAAGAAGTACCTTTTTTTTCAAGACTTCAAAAGTAGCAGCCCTATCACAGTGTGGCTCGGAGTGAAGGCGATTTTCATAATCCATTTAAAAAAGATCAGAAGTACTTATAAAACAGACTCTATTTGCTTGATCTCCTTCTCGGGTGGCTCTAAGGGTGACGGCGCGGTTTCTACTATCTCCGGTATATCCTCCTCGTTCTCTTCCTCAATATCTTCGTCGATTGGAGTCAATGTATCTAATATCACAGGTTGAGTCTGCAACAAATAAAATAATTCGATAATTATCGCGTAAACCGGTAAAAATGCCATTTATTAAAAATCTAGCGATACAACTAACGTCAAATGCAAAAATCACGGTATAATTAAATGACGCCGAGCGAAAGATTGGTACAAGTTGTAGTCTTACCTGCGGTGTGGTACACCGTTTCATAGCAGGGGCCATGAAACTAGTAACAGTGCTTACAAGGAAGAAGAACCCTGCCATGAAGAACGGGATACTATAACTTTGCGTCGCATCGTAAACAGCGCCCGCTAAGGGTGAGCCAACTATAGCGGCAGCCCCTCGGAATAAAATTAAAAGGCCGAAAGCGTTCGTTAGCTTATCTAATCCCAAGAGATCCACCAAGATGATTGATGTTAATGAGATATATCCAGCTAAAATCGGAATCATAAGATATTGAAAATTTCCAAAATGAAATAAATTTCCATACTCGATGGTTACAAGCTAAAAGAAGGGATGTTTAACATTTTCTAAAAGTCAATCAGTGGATCATCACTGAAAACAGTGAATATTCACTGATTCATAATTGTAAGTATAGCACTAAATTATTCAGCGCTATACTTACAACTGTTTTCAGTGACAAAGAACTGATTGACTTTTAGAGAGCAGAGTTGCGTTATTCAGATACTTACATATTGCTATCCCAAAAAATATACTCATGATGATATAAGCGGCATAACTATGGCAAAATGGCGTAGCGGCTACTGCAACTGTAGATATAATTAAGCAAATATTGTTTAGCAGTAAGGAATCGACTTGCGGAAAATCAGCGACATATCCACAAGCCACACGACCTATGGTGTTCGTTATTCCAATAATAGATAATAAGAATGATGCAGAATTACGTTCAATTCCCTTAAAGAAAAAAAAACGACGTTGTTGAATTATGATATTGCATAATCCAGCGACATAAAGTTTAATAAATAACATACATCTAAGACCGCGGCATCCACCAGATATACAAAAGGAACGTATAGTCCAGCCATACCAAAGACATTGCTAATACCAATTAGGAGAAAAACAGGATTTTTCAATAAAGACATATCCATCATCGTTGCTAAAGCTTCCTTAAACGAATCGGGTAATACCAAGCAGGGGCACAAGGGTTCTAAAAAGATGAAAATCTATATTATTTTCTCTGAGCTTTCATAATGTTGTCTAAATTAAATGTATGTATACGAAGAAATGGTATACGTACGTTGTTGCGCTTTTTCAATATCAATATCCTTCAAGTCACCACGTACAGATTTGGGAATAGATACAACACTCTGGCGATAATTGGCGAGCGATTTCTGGCTTTGGTATTCTGGTAAATTGACTACACTACCGCTGTAGAAAATATCCTTTCTCGATAAGGGACGGACCATCATTGGTTTCTCCTTTGGGATACTAGCTTTACTGGTAGTAAAGGTAATACTCTCACCATCCTGAAACAGGCAGATATCGCGCATTTATTGTTAGATTGTGTGCAAAATGTGCGCTTGACAGTATGAAGACATTTTGTAAGAAAAACGTCCTCATCCTTAAAGTGTGTGACTTACATCAACCTCAGCATTGTTATTTCGCGATCCCAACATGCTGCTCGCGGAAAGTCTTAGATGCAAGCTCTTTCTGATGTCTCCGTTAGAATTAAGCGTTGTCCTAGAATTCTTTATTGCACTAAGGCTAGGCTTGTAGCGTTCGCTGGTACTCGTTTTGCGGATTCTGTCAAAGAATGGCACGGAGCCGTTTTTAGGCAAACCTTGAACGTGGGTTGTGAAAGCCGGCTGCGACGCGTTCCTGGGGATTATCGTCTTATTAAACTCGTTCTCGGGTTTCTCCGCGTCCTTCGTGTCTTTGGTTTCGTCAATATTTTTCTTGCTCTTGGACTTGGTGGAAATGTTCTTCAGATCCATACTACCGCTGTCGCTAGTATGTCCACTAGAAGAGTGCTCCTGTACCTTCACTTCAGATATGGTGGGAAGGGTTGGCACCGTCGGAACTGGTGTTAAAGGAGTTCCTTTAATATTACGGGTATTGAATCAAGTACCACATTGTTACTTTATTTACTCGGAAAGCGTACGCGCCCATAATTATGGAAACGACAGAAATAACTTGATTTTGAGATGATATTAAACTTTTGCGGGTTGAGAATCGTCAATAATTCACGGATTCTCAGATCAATTGAAATAATATCACGTTGCTTTAAAAGACAACGTAACCGAGACAAAACGTATGATCGATTTAATTTTCCGACGCGTGTGTTTGCGACTTATTCCACTTTCACAGTCATCCTCTCTGACTTGATCGTCAGAGTCCCTTACCAGGCACTAATTGGTCTAAATTGAAGCTGGAATGAACACCGGGATCAATATTAATGGGCATTTTCATCCTCTTTTCCATGGATCCGTCCGGTAACTGTACCATAAAATAGGAGCCACCGATACTACCGCGTTCCATTTGAAATCTCTTCTCCTCGGCCATTCTTTGTAACAACGGCTTAACAGAGGAAGCCTTCGGATATTCCAGAGGTCTCATCATGGCACCGAATACCTAAAAATCATCTATTAGAATTTTTTTATCAGATATACGAGATGCCGTCTCGGCTAATCTAAAGCTTTGTGGTACCCCTGCACAATGAAAGCGGCGAGGAGCAGTGAGTGAGTGACTGTCGCACTGTTTACTTACTGCGCAATTTAAGATGAGGCCAGCCAGGATTAGGTTTGCTCCCTTCCAGCTGTACGCCTCCAGCAACATAGTCGCCAGAGGCGCGAACGCGAACGTACCGAATCCCGAGCCGCATACAGCGATGCCGGTAGCTAGGGATCTCTTGGTTTCAAAGTAATAGCCCACACAAACTACTGCGGGTAGATATATCAAACCGAATCCAATCCCTAAAAGAACAATCGTAGAGACGTGAAGAAGTATTGGCCAAATAGAAAGAACGCCGATCGAAGTAGATCGTTACGCACCTCCCATAATACCGTAAGTCATCATAAGCATATTTACACTGCTCGAAAACGTCGAAAGTACAAATGCGGCGGCGCCTAAGAAACTTCCTGCCATACATACTGCTCTACAGCCATATTTATTCGTTAAAGCACTGACAACGGGGCCTACGACGAGGAAAAATTAACATTTCACATATATACACAGAGGAAAGTCCTCTATTATGAGATAGGCTTCTTTTATTTGCAACGATTACACGATCTAACAATGTATTTTCCACTGAACATATTTCACTTCAAGGACAATAAATTAACGATTAAACCAATAGACGATGCCTATTAATTTAGCAAAAACGCCGCTATCTCATATTAGGCGCTTATCTCATAATAAGGGACTTTCTTCTACGTATAAGAATAAATAATACGTCCTCTGAACTAGACCTGTTATTTTAATAACTATATTTAATATGAATTTCATCAAAAGCTATTAGAACAAGGCCGCAATCTAATCTCCTTTCATTAAGATAAAGCGTATTTGAGAATTGGACCAAAAGATAAGGTCGTTCACTCGGTATTTCACTATTAAACTTTCAGTCACAGTGTGAGTAAAATTTTTGCTATGGAAAAATCGCCTTCTCCTACAAAGGAGATGTCATTTACAATATTCTCCGACAACGGTAGCGCAATCCGTGGCTTTAAAGTTCAGTTAGCGAAACTTTAGAGGCGCTCGCGTGTCTTACCAGCGCTGAGGTACATTCCAGACAGCAGCGAGCCAACCCAGGCGGTCTTGCCCTTTCCTTCGCCAAAGTACTTAACGAATTCACCCAGAAAGACGCCGAACGTGTAGGCAATGCCGTCCACTATCATGTTACACATGAACGATGCAAATACCACCACCCAACCATATCCACCGTCCGGGGGCGGCGGTATGTCGTGGTACTCGCAAAGCGAACCTCCCTCATCGTCCGGCGAGGCTTCATCGCCACCCGGTCCATCGGTCCCCGTTAATCTCGATTGTTCTTCCACTGAGTATTCGCTCTCCGTCTGAAAGTGAAACGCAATGATACTCGGCGCTGTTCTCAACACGCGTTAAGAAAAAAATCGTACTTTACGCGTTGTAAAATGAGTGTAAAATTCCCCTCCGAGAGATGTTTTGTTCATTAGAAAGTCACTTTTATGGAAGGAAACGTCTGGGAGTAGGGACACTTTTAATTTTAGACCCCTGTTTTTCTCTCATCCATGTCATAACTTTAGCAACGCGCTTGCATACCTATCGCTAAAATTGCGAAATATGGAAATTATCGTGAATTATCGCTCGCATTTACGTGTCGCGTCTGAACATTTTTTTACGCCGCGACAATTTAGCGCGGATAATTACGTGACACATGCACTCGGGCCGCGTATCCTTTTAATAGTTTCACAGAAAAACCGGCAAACGCATATAATTGAGGACTGCGTTATACCTCGCGTGGTACGAGCGCGTTGCATTCGCCTTGAATGAGACTTGCCGTTCACCTTGAATGCTCTAAGAAAAAGCTTCCTTTCGCGTCGGTGCATAAATAAGTGCTCATTCTCTAATTCGCTGACTTAAGATAAATACTCGATTAGACGTCATATAAATCGGGGACAAATGCAATCTTCCCGATAGATTGGAAGAAAATACTGGCATTAACAATAAACATCTTAAATTCCGCGAGAAATCAAAGTGTATTAAATTTGATAATAAATTTGCGATTTTTTTCCCAATGAAAAATCAATTATTTATCACGTAAGGAGCACAACGTGTTAATTTGTCTTTAAAAAAAAGACAATTATAAATTAGTCACGTGTCCTCACAATTATCTTTATAGTTGCCGTTAAACGACAGCTTTTTATCTCCCAAAGAAAACGATAAAGACAATAGTTCTGAAACGCGCCGATTCGTAAACCACTTTTTGGATCCTATATTCTTTTCCGCTTCTCGCAGAAGCGCGTATCTCGGATATGCGCGAAGGAAGTGACGTCGAAAGCACCAGAAATAAGTCGGATTTTCACGCGCACACAACGGGATGGGGAAACCGGAGAAGTCGCGCGTAAGCAAAACCGTATGCCACGGCTCGGCGATTTCTGATGTTAATCGCGAGTCCAGAAATTATCGCGGGGCGTAACGCGAGAGCGGAGCGCGTAGCGCGCAACGCGTTCGGGATGATCTCATAACGCAAACGCTAGCACAGATATTAAATAGCTAACTGTGACTTAATCAGTCTCTGAGGCTACATCTGGCCAAGGTGATATACGTCGCGCGCGTAGAATGCAATGCGCCGAGATCGAATCGATAAAAGGAACGGTTGTTTGCGATCCCTAGCCGCGTTTCGCAGGAGATGCAATTAAGTGTACGCCGGTGTATGATTAACGCGCGTTCAACTCGTTGACCACGAAAGACGGATTTCTTTCATTTATTTCCCCATGTATAATGGATTGAAGCGCAGTCTACGAGCGCGAGACAAGTCGTTACGTTCGAAAGTCGATCGCTCGAGAGGTTCACGAGCGGATTGTCGATTTGAAGCTGTTAAGCCCAGTTTTTCATTTTCTGGCTTATAACTGTTAATCAGAGGTTAGTCAACTCTCCATCTTTTTCTTATATTATTATCTTAGGTCCGGTATTTCATTTTCTGGTTAACTGTTAACCAGAAGTTAGTCGACTCTCCGTCTCTTTCTATGTTATTATCTAAGAAGAGACAGAGAGTCGACTAACCTCTGATTAACAGTTAACCAGAAAATGAAACACCGGGCCAAAGAACCCCAAACATCACGTATGTCTAAAGACTAGCAATGGTCGACGCGGACTGGATTGGGATTGACGATTGCCGATTGTCTTCTAGCCAATGAGAACAAAGCAGCCAGCGATATAATCGACTCTCATTGGCCAGAGGACAATCGTCACTCGCCAATCCCAATCCAATCCGAGTCGGCCTTAAGACACCTTAAAGATATCTTAAAGACATCTTAAAGACATCTTAAAGATGTGTTTTAGACGTGGGAAGAGATAGAGAATCGACTAATTTCTGGTTAACAGTTAACCAGACAATGAAAAACCAGGCCTGAGTTGTCCACAAAATATGGTCCCTTCGGTTTATATTACTTTCATTAATATTACGTTCATTTAATGATACTTCGAGTCAGCTAATATTACCGAATAACGCATCGGGGATGTTTAATCCGGCAACTGCACGCGATCGTGTTGGGCTTCAATGAAAAAAAAACAGCTTATTAATACCGTGGTATTAATACCCGCGATAATCGAGAAGGAGAAATATCGAGCTGCGCCCACGCGATTAATCAATGACGTTTTAGCGCTGACAGGTGTTCCTAGGATAATTACACAAGATTATTGCGCCACGAGAAATCAATGAGAACAAAACGCTCGAGTGTTATTAATTACTTCGGCAATCGGAGGAGATAAGTAGGAGTTTCGGTTCTTTCAGTAAACGACCGACATTAGCCGAACTACTTATCTGCCCATAGTTGTGTGCCTCACGGCGAGATAAGAGCTACAGTATTGTTTTATAATATATTATATAAAATATATCGTCCTCCTTATGTTAGTACCACGAATGTGCGATTCGATGAATTTTAAAAAGCCATACGGAGAGAACTTTTTTTACCCTGAAAATCAAGTGGGACAACATGATATTTTGAAGAACTTTGTGAGTTTTTTTTAATGTTACCATACTTACTCTAACCATAATTTACTCTAGTAACGGAGAGAATTTTCTCTTAAAATTTATATTTTATAACTCGACTCTGTCTTATTCGACGACGATGACTGACTTAGTATCATTCGAAAAGGACCCAAAAGAATAGCGTCGAAAGTTGTGTAATAAACTAATCACTGAGAAAAATAACCGGCAGTTTTAATCGGAAAAAACCGTTAAAGTGCTTAATCCGATGCATTTCTATCAGATTTGAAAGTATCCGATAGAATAATGGCCGCCTTCATCAGATGAAATATTATTTCCGATCAAATGTTATCGAATAATGAGCCGTTATTCTTTTTCCGTTCAAATCTTATGGTAATCTAATCGGATGTTGCTCTTCATCGGATAAAAACCGACTATTTTATCCGATAAAGTTTAATGCCTGAACGGATGTTATTTCCGATTAAAAAGTATCCGATCACTGAGAAAAATGTCGGATTAAATATAATCGAATAATCCAATTGCATAATAACAAGCGGATATATCCGATTAAATTGTATATCCGACGAAAACTATGATCGGTGAGTTGAAATGAAATGTAAGCTGTTGCTATCCCTGCGATCGGCGGACATAGTTGCACGACAATGAGTGAGTTCAGTGAAATTCGGTCTTCAAAATTGCGGTCTATGCTCGAGGACTTAAACTTAGAGGAAGAAGTAATTAGAATTCTTATTAATCGGATTTTTTCTATCGGATGTTTCTAATCGGAACTTTCTTAACGGATATTTCTAATCGGAAAATCCGATAAAAGACTAACAAACGGATATTTCCGATTAGTCTTCAACGGTTTTTGTTTCCGATGACATTTATTGGAAATATCCGTTTGTTTACTCTTTCATCGGATTTTCCGATTAGATTAGGCCCGGATTGTTCTCTCAGTGATTAAATAACTAACCAGTTAGGGTAGGTTAATTTGACTATAAATTTCCCGTCTCAATTTTTATAATCATTACTGGTGACAATAAGCAAACTCTCCTTTCATCTTAAAATTTACTCTGAAAATCATGTAATCGTGGGACAACATGACATTTTGAAGAATTTTATGCCAGTTTTCTGAAATTTTACTATACTTTTTACCAGTAAAATGTATACTAAGTAGCAAAAAGTGGAGTAAAATTTCAAAAAACTCTCATAGAATTCTTCGAGATGTGTTGTCCCACGATTACATGGTTTTGAGGATAAATTTTAGGAGAAAATTCTCTCCGTGCACAATTGAATGTAAAGTGTATTGAAATAATTCAGAGTTCTGGTTCCAATTCCGAAGGTCACTTTGTTACGTGCACATTCATCGTTTTGGCATATTAGGAAGAAAAGAAGACGCCAACCCACTTCTTCATTCAAAAAGTGAAAATTTGCACCTTCATGATCTTGGCACGAGAGGAACATTAGATTTCATCAATATATTGTATTTTATAAATTATACTTAATAGAATATAATTTGTATAACTTATAAATTGCAATCTCGCGTTTCGCGTAACTTTGAGTCGCATTCTCGTCTGTCGTCAACGAAGCACCGTTCTCGTTAGCTCGGAGGAATCGCGCAAAATTGTAATATCCCCTCGCGAGATGATTGCCGCGGCCCCCGCGCCCCTCGGCATCTCGTCGCGGACGCACGGAGGTGCTAATGAATTTGGATCAACGACCTCGCGTGTCGCGGCCGCGGAGACGAATTTAAATGCGGCGCGCGCGCGCAAGTTGGTCTCGGCCGAAAGGAAGGCCACAGCTGATCAGCTGATCGCGCGCGGGCACCGCGCTGTCATTCCGATCGCGCCACCCGGCGACGGCGGACGCGAAGCTATCGTGCTCTTTCTCTCCCCTCCCCTCTCTCTCTCTCTCTCTCTTTCTTTTTCTCTCCGCGAGAGAGAATCCACTGGCCGAATACTACACCGCCGCGCGATTCGCTCGACCTTGTTACTCGCCGTCGTTAACACGCGCGCGCGTGCAGGCACTTACGCACTCGTAATGCGAGGTACGCGATACGCGTACGCGCGTGGCGACTGGCGAGTGCAATCCGCGCGTCGACGCCGATCCTCCCGCCCGATCCGACAATCGGCCCCGATTGTCAAGGCTGAGTCACGTGTCTCTCGCCCTCCCGTCGCGCGAGAGAAGAGCCGCGCGAAACGCCACGACGATGATTATAGGCGACGCGTAAATAGCCGATCGTCCCGATAGCGTCCGGCGCGGCCGAGAGAGGCTGCGCGAACTGCGCTGCGAATTTACCGGCACGTCCGCGCCAGATCGCGTGGAAACCGATGCCGTTCGGTAACACGGTTGGAGCGCGAAACGGAGTTTGTATCTCGTGGCAATTTTCTACGACTCTCCAGAGTACGAGAGACCCGTGGCTCCATGTGCTATCTGTTCGGAGCAACGCGAAGAAGTCAGCGGGGGTGTCTTTAAAGGGATCTAACAGATGTTTCGCTAATCCTTCGGGTCTTTAAATCTTACTTTCAAAAATAACACTTTGACCGTTACGTTAGGTCTGACAATGCCGAGGGTCTACTCAGGTAGAAGGGCGCGAGACCACTTCGTCTCGACTTTGGATTGGACGCCGATCGAAAGAATTTAGGCAGGTAGACAAGGAAGGAAGGAAGCAAGCAAGCAAAGGGGGGGATTTGCACGTAACCGACACCAACCACGGCCATGCTCTCACTGCCCATAATGTACCATACAAACCGTACCGAGCTGATTTTGCGGACGCGACGCGAGCCGTACTGCGACTTGTTGAGCGACACTCGCGACATTCTACAACCGCCTTAAACCGTCAGTCACTCTCGTCTCTCTCTCTCTCTCTCTCTCTTTCTCCGTCCTGCTCGCCCTCCTCTCTTTCGCCCGCTCGCGAACCGCGTTCTATTTTCGAGCGCGCTCGACGCGATTCGCGGCGACGCAACGCGCGAGGCGAGGCGAGGCGACGCGATTCGCGACGCCCGCTCTCCTCGGCAGCGACTTTATCTCGCGTCGTTAGCACTCGTCGTGGCTCGTATCGCGCCCGCCGACGCTCTTCCTTCCCGCCGCGACTCTCCCTCGGGTCGGTCGCCGCGCTGCTCTTTCTCACGCGCTCCTGCCAGGCCCGTCGTGGCGAGTCTCACTCGTCGTAATCCGCTGCCATGTCGACTCCGGCCCGCACTGTTACTGGCGCGCTCCTCACGTCGTCGTCGGCACTCGCTCACTTAGCGCACTGCCATCGCGCGCAGCGCGCGCCGCGCCGGTACCCGGCAACTCGCCTCGATGCAGAGACGCGGAGTGGGAGAGAGATCTCTCTCTCTCTTTCTTTCTCCCTCTCTCTCTCTCCCCCTCCCTCTCTCTCTCTCCCTCCTCTCTCCTCCTTCTCCTCCCTCTGCGCGATCTCCTCTCCGATCCAAGGAGAGCGCCCCTGCGTGCGAGGACAGTGATATCGGTGCCCTCGATGCGCGGATGTAGCAGTTTTCGCGCTGCGTGTTGCCTCCCCAGGCTCCTCTTCCTCCCCCGGGATTCACGCTCTTCGATTAATCTCGCCTGATTAAATCGCCCGAATTAAATGTCCCTCCGCCGCGCCGGCCGACTTCGACGCCGGTACTCTCCTCTTTAATCCGCGTGCCTCGCTTTTCGTTTCTATTAACTAGTCTCCCTGGCCCCGAAACTGTAGGTCACTCGAGTCTTTCTTTCCTCGCTGTCGACAGACCCCAGGGAGCCTCTCGTCGAGGACTCGCACGCTCCACAAACCGACGATCTTTCTCAATCCGTCGTATCACTCCGATTCTTCGCTTTGAAATTTTACCCTTCGTCCGCGACGGACTCGGTCCTCCCCCTCTCGGAATTTAATTAATTAATTAAATTTAATTACTCGAGGGGTGCGTACATTCCTCACGCCGTGCCCGAGACAGCAACACCCACCGACTCCGCTTCTCGCGCGGCAGCGGGACGGAAACTTCAGTCGGCCCGTCCCCGCGGCCGGTGCGCACGTGCTAAGTGACTCACGTGCGCCGCCGGACAAAAGATTGGTGTGCGCGCGCGGTGCGCCTACGGTCCCTTGTTTTCGCGCTTTGTCACGTACGGATATAGTACGCCGCTACCGTCCACAAGGTGCCCGGGTTGCCGAACCCCCGCTCGTACGATGAACGCGGAAATCCGGCGCGCCCGCTCAACCCGTCAAGCGGGGGTCGCCGATCGCGGGACGCGACTTGGTCGCGGCTATCGATTTGAGGAGCGTCCGCACGTGGTACGCCGACGGCAGGCCGCCTCGCGAACGGACCGTGTGTGACAGAGTTCTCCGCTGAATCGACGGAGAGGCTCGGCGCGCGACGCGGGACGCAGCTGGTCGGACACCTCCGGCGACGCGATCGTGCGTCACGCGAATGTCAGAGGGAACTGAGGGAAGTCGGACGCGGCCGAGTTCCCCGAAGTAAGCTCCGACGCACCTTCGCGGAAGACCCGCCAGCCAGCGTGAAGAGCCGAGAGTCACGCTGCCGTCACTTCCCGCGGATGTCGCCCGATGACCCACCTTCTCGGCGACCTCGGGAGAAGATAATACGACGCACTCGTGTCGCACTGTGTCGTCGCGCTCGGTTTTCGCTCTGTAGAATCGACGCTCCCTGTATTTCCGCGCGACCATTCCCGCGGCGCGTCTCCTCTCGAGCTCCCTGAAGCGCGGAACGGCCGCGAGTGCTCGTCACGATCGCGGGGATAATTCGCCGATGACTCTCTTTCTCCTCCTCTCCCCTTGGACGACACCCAAGGGCCTTGTTCGATACTGACAGTTGTGCGGGGCAGTCGAGAACGTCCAGAGTGGCGCTATATCGGGGATTATCCGCGGCGTAGCACGGCAGATTCTATTTATACCCCGAGAACGCGCGGCGACTCTCGAAGCTCGTCGAACTTCCGCGAACAAAGCGTGGGGCGCGTCCTTCTTCCTAAATCGAGATCGCGCTTTCCTCGCCGTCGCGATGCCGCAACGGGCGCGAACAGCGAGATCGCTCGACGAGACGTCCATGCGGCCAAGATCGGCGCGGGCGAATCGATCTCTTGCGTTGTCGATCTGGAATTCTGGAGCATAGTTTCCCGTCGGGAATTGTACATTCAAATTGATGGAGACACGCGCACTATCGCGACTTCTCGGGGCGAAACGCGGGAGGTGGACAGCGGGACCGCTCAACGAGAAAGACGTTCACGCGACCAAGATCGGCGCGGGCGGATCGATTCCTTGCGTTGTCGCGATCTGTAATTCTGGAGCATAGTTTCCCCGTCGGGAATTGTACATTTAAATTGATGGAGACGCGCGCACTATCGCGACCAATCGAGGCGAGGCGCGTCACGTTGCGTCGAAGTCGCCTTGTCACTCGCGCGACGCGACGATCTCGATCTTCCAGGCGCGGAGTCTGCTCGGCGTCGACACGGGGTTGCGACTCGGCCGATTCTTAGTCGAGGCGCGGCACTGCGCGTGGCCCTCACCTACGTGCATGCTGCACTCTCGCGTTCGCGCGCGTGCGTCCCCACTCGCGCGGAATTGCGAAGCGGAGCGTCCGCTCCGCCGGCGTCGAGGGACGTGCGCGCGCGCGCGCGCGAGCGTTGCATTTTCCAGCACGCGTCACCCGCGTCGGTCGTCGGGAGAGGGAGACTCCTCGCAGGGACGTTTCGCCTCGTCTCGAGACCCTAACTCGCGCCTATTTCGCGAAATCTCGTTTCCGTATAACGGCGGGCAAATTTGTTTGTGCTCGCGATCCCTTTTTTGAATTCATTAATCGCTCGCATAAACGAAGACTAACGTAAGGGTAATTATAATCTTTTAAGCTGGTCGTTTTAATTTGCGCGCATAAAACTTAATTCTTTTATATTTCAATACATACGAGGTGTGTGTCCCAAAAGTATCCGACCACTGCATATATCTTTGCCCTTAGGCATCCTATTGTGGAAAACAGGTATTCAGTATTTAGGGTGGACCTTTATGAGTGTCCCCCATCAAGCGGCACAATCCAACAATTGTTCAGTCGGCAACGGTACGCAATTGTGTGAGCGTCGCATTTCACAATGACTGAACGAGTCGAGCAAAGAATTTGTATTAAATTTTGCCAAAAACTTGGATACACACGTTCCGAGACATCGGGATATGCCTGACATTCTTTTAAAGTAGAAGAACATATTTTACTTTGGGAATTTTTCCTGCAGACATAATAAGTGCGAGAAGAACGCACGTAGCTCAACGAAATTGTTAGTGTCTTTGAAATAAGTTAACCTTCTAAAAGGACGATGAGTAAATGCACCACACAGTATCAACGTCGTAGAAAATATAAGAAAAATCGCGAATATATCCTTATACACGGAGAGAAATCCTGAAATCATGTAGTCGTGTGACAACATGGCATTTTGAACCACGTTATAAGTTTTTGAAATTTTACCATACATTTTACTAGTAAAATGTGTACTAAGTGTAATTGCTAGTAAAAAGTATGGTAAAAATTTCGAAAAAACTCTCATAGAATTGTTCAAAATGCCATGTTCCACGATCAGGGTAAATTTTAAGAGAAAATACATTGCAGTAATTAATACACGTTAACAGCGGGAAGAATTTTGCGACCCTCAATGACTCTTGCGCGATCCACGCACTGCCCTAGAAGAGTAGAGGGTCAATTTTCTATCTTGCGACATGGTGAAAATGCTAAAGTGAACGGCTTTGTCTCTTTTTAAGGAGGCAGAAAGGGACAAGGCTACTCACTTTTAGCATTTTCACTATAGTGTAAGATACAGAATTGACCATCAGATCCCAGAATACGGAAAACGTGTGTGTCAGTATATCGAACGACAATACTGTTTTTCAACGTAAGATAATTTTGCGCTCAGACACGATCGCTCGCTTCGCTGTAACGTGCCACGAAATTTAAACAATCTTTCAGAGAATTAAGTCATCGCGCGCGTCAGAATTCTGAGCCTTGGAGCCTGCGTATCTCACCGCTATAAAAATCCCAGCCAATGGCCTTAGGAATAGGTCTGTTTGCGACGGAGAAAATAGCAGCTTCGATTCAAATGAAATGAATGAATTTCATAGATTAATTCGAAGGAATGCTTGACGCATTTATTTTCGCCTCGGCCACAATGGGCGATTACAATCCATCGCGGGACACTGTCATGTACCAATAACCGGGCATTAAAATATCGCGAGCTGTCAATTAGAAGGGGCTTAAGGTGTACTCGGACAAGAACGGACGGACGATTGAAACTCGACAGAACCGGAAAGAAATTTATCTTACACGAGACGGCCTCGGTGCAGTCTCTTGAGGAATCGTTATCTTCGAGTCCCCGCGTCGACTCGCGACTCCGCGAGCCGGAAGGCTGGAGAACTGCGACGGGCGCGAAAGTCCCGTCTTTTCGCGCGGTTAGAACAAAGCCTTAAGGCCGCCCGTCTAATTGTGAGGTCTCCGATCGAATCAGAGAGATGGAACTTACGACGAAACGGTCGAGACGCTGGTCCGCCGAATCAGCCATAGCGGCGTAGCTCGATGTGCCCGGCGCGATAAGCTCGTTTCCCTCGGGCTGTGCCTGCCGTGGCGAGGATCGCGGCGAGAGGACGCCTCGCGTCGGGCGACGCGACGCCCGCGGACCTCCGTCGGCGCCTGGACCTCGTGCACGAGCGAAATAATTCCGGGACAATGCCGAAAGTTAGCCCGAACGCGCGGCCGCAAGCTCCGGTCACTCGAAGAAGCACTGTGCGACCGCGCGGCGCAATGCTCGCACGGCTGATGAATTAATTAGATAATAACCAGCGACAATTAGAGCCGAAGGCACGGACACGCATGGAAACACCATCTGCTTCTCATCTCTCCGCGGAAAAGTTTCCAAGCGCGAGTCCGAACGCAGCGCGAATAAACAAACGGGCGTGTCGCGGTAAATCCGCGCTTCGGTTGCGCGTCAATATTCGATTGAGTGCTTCTGGGAACATTTATCGGCGTGTTATTCACGGCTATTCACGCATATTAGAATTCACCTCGCGAGGATATGAATTACGCCTGCACCCTCAGAAAGGATTTCTGTTACTGACAATGAGACAAAAATATTCTTGACGCATTTATATTTCTCACAACCTCGTTTAGTGTCAAAATAAGTATCAAAGTAAAATCAATAATTCTTGTTCTCCTCTATCGAATTAAATAAGATTGACTTGCTATATTGAGACAAGAGTAACTTTATCTATTCCTGCGTTTAGAATAAATTTTTCCCTCCATCTTACAACGTACGAAGTTGGCAC